GAGTTCGCATCTCGGCCGCGACCGACCTAGTCGTTAAAATGGGTAGCAACTTGTTCCTTCGCCATGCGCTCGGCACTTTGAAGTGAAAGTTGCGGGTCCTTCGGATGAGACCTAAAAAACCGAGGCCCCGTGTCAGTGGCAGGCGTTGGCACGATAAAGATCCCTCACTGCTCAATGGCCCTAGGTGCCGGGTAAAGGTCAAAATTTGAAGCCCTTCACCGGCATACAGTGACGTCTCCATATGAGAGAAAAATTCTCGAGAGGGACGTTAAACAATATACAATCAATCAATCTACATGTATATCCAATTTTGAAGACTCTAAAAAACATGCAATTAACACAACGGTATTACCTATGCAATGATACAATAAGGGCATGATATTTTAAATATTGAGCAAGAAATTGTCGATATAATATCGATACTCTCTGTAAATAAAGCAATGGGTCCTGATACAATAAGCCACAAGATGTTAAAATCTACTATTTATTCTGTGTCTAAACCGCTGTGTGAATAAGTCGCTGGCAGAAAATGAATTTTCCCGCTCATGTATTACCGCTGTTTAAAAAAGATGACCCTTCTGAGGCTACTAATTATAGACCGGTATTATTGTTGAGCTGTGTTAGCAAAATTGTGGAAAGAATTGTTTTTAAACATGTGTACAATTACTTTCATCAGAATAAATTATTTTATAAATTTCAAGCAGGTGTTTTGCCAGGTCACTCTAATGTTTACCAATTACTTGAAACTTATCACACTATAATTAAGAATATCGATGAGGGAAAATTTTGTTGCATGCATGGTATTTTTTTTATCTGTCCAAAGCGTTCGACAGAGTGTGGCATAAAGGTTTAATTTACTTTTTAAATTAAAGACATACATGTGGAAATATTCTTACCTGGCTTGAGAGTTACTTATGTAACAGAAGGCAGAAAGTTATGTACAAAGATTATTTTTTTCGTCTAGTAGAAACATTAACCCTGGTGTACCTCAAGGATCAGTTACTGGTCTTTTACTTTTCTTGATTTATGTGAATGATGTGTCAGAAAACATGATTTCATTGTGTAGATTGTTTGCAGATGACACGTCGTTGTTCCTCTTACAATGTTGCAGCTATTGAATATACTTTAAATCATGATTTAGATATTCTTGATGAGTGGTCTTCCAAATGGCTTATGAAATTTCAAACTCCATACCAAAACAAAAGCATTATTTTTACTCATCCAAAACAAAAGCATTATTTTTACATTAAAATCCAATTATTTTAAGAATGCTTTGGTCTGGATGTAACCACGCACTGCAGAGAATAATATTTCTAAGAATCAGCCGCTTGAAAGAGGCAATTACGGAAGCATAGTAGGGCCGCACCAATACCTTTTATTAATTTGTTTAACAAATGAACAATTTGTTTTAACAAATTAATTATTTTTTTAAAACAAAATTAATAGTTGTTTTAACAAATTGATAATTTGTTTTAACAAATTAATAATTTGTTTTAACTAACTAATAATTTGTTTTAAGTAATTAATACTTTGCTTTAACAAATTAATACTTAAATGTTTTAACAAATTAATACTTGTTTTAACTAATTAATAATTTGTTTTAACAAATTAATACTTTGTTTTAACTAATTAATAATTTGTTTTAAGTAATTAATAATTTTGTTTAAAGTAATTAATAATTTGTTTTAACAAATTAATACTTTGTTTTAAGAAATTAATACTTTGTTTTAACAAATTAATACTTTGTTTTAACTAATTAACAATTTGTTTTAACAAATTAATTATTTGTTTTAACAAATTAATTATTTGTTTTAACAAATTAATTATTTGTTTTAACAAATTTTCTAATTTGTTTTAACAATATTAAATTACTAATTTGTTTTAACAAAATTAATAATTTTTTTTTTATAACAAATTGATAATTTGTTAAAACAAAATTACTAATTTGTTAAAACAAATTGATAATTTAATAAAGATACTGACCAATGCGACCCTAATACGCTTCCGTAGGCAATAAGTCTAGGACAAAAAATCGCAAAAACTGGGGTGATAACCTACTTTTTTCTTTTTAAATTATTTTTATTATTTTTTTCTTGTTGCAATCAGTAACAAGTTTGAAACCCGGCCTGGTCAAGGTTTTACTTCCCAAACTCACCTACGACTTAAAGTGGAATGAGTTAACAATTACTCGACAACACCGGGTTCTGAAACAAAACAATTATTGAATTTAAAAGTTTTATTTTGTAACACTGACTCACTGTAAACCCCTGAAGGTGGTATTATAATTATTTTACAATGGTGAAAATAACAGATGCTAGACGGGATGAAGGTCAAGTTGATAATTACCACAACCAAAAGGTAGATTCTTAATGTAAATTCTTATTCAGTCTTTGCCAGCATGGTTGGTGTTAACAGGTCCAGTACAATCAGTACATTTAGCTACGTAGGTAGAATTACCTATGTAGCTTTATTTACCTACCTCAGGTAGCTTGATTTAGCTATTTCAATGTAACTTTTCTTTTTATGGAAAAGAGACAAAAAATCGCAGTTAAATGACTATTGATATTTATACTAGGTTGTCTTTAAAAAACAATCCAAAGCAGAGATAGTTTAAACATTGCTGCGTTTGGTCAATTTAGAGCAAAACATGTAATTCCATTGTTTGGTTATCTGTCCGTGCGGTGAGGCATGACTGAGTATGATTACTTCACATTGTGCTGAATAATTACCAACCTATTATCATGTTAACTGGACTTCTTTGTCATTTCATTCAAGGAGTAACTGTCATACATAGCCCCAAAACTTTCAGAACTTTGATTGCAATTGCGCAGAAAAAGACATTTCTTCAAGAGGGAATTTTTCATGAATTGTTTTCACACGAGTTCAAAGTTGAAAATGATCACTGCATCAACATGATAGTTTTTGCACATCCTGAGAAAAATGCTTTTTTATAGAAATAAATTCATTTGGTAGCTAAATCAAGCTACCTGAGGTAGGTAAATAAAGCTACGTAGGTAATTCTACCTACGTAGCTAAATGTACTGATTGTACTGGACCTGGTTAATCCCTGTTGAGATTCTGCTTGGCTAGATATTTGGACTGACGCCGTCAGTCCAAATATCTAGCCTAGCTCTCAACAGGGATTAGGTTGGTGACACAAATATTGAAATAATATAAACAAACTGAAATAAAAACACAGACAAACACGTGTAGGCTAAGAAAAAGTTTGTTGTGAGATAAATTGATAGATAACTGACCCTTACCATTTATTGTTGTGAGATATAAATATATATTTTTATACAAAATGTTACTCACAAATGTAAGTGAATGGGATTGGGCAGCAGGCAAAGCCTATTTTAGCCCTCTAGATAAATTGATAGATAGCTGACCCTTACCATTTATTGTTGTGAAATATAGGCCTATTGACAGATAGTAATCTCGATGGAGACTCTGCTGGGATGTTTGGTCTGACTCTCCTGTGCTGGATATTTGGTCTGAAGCCCACAGACCAAATATCTAGCCCAGCGTTATTTTATAGGTAGCTGACCCTTTGCATTATTTTATAGATAGGGCCAAAATAAAAATATTCCTAGATTCTCATCCCCGCCCGCCCCGATTTAATTCCCCCGCCTCGATTTTTTTTATTTCTGTTTTTCTTCGTCTTAATTCTGATCTGGATCGGTATTCATCTACCATTCTACTTTCGTTTTAAATCCCGCAAAAGACGACATGATTTTGACAGCTGAAAAGATAGTAATTGCTGTAATACATGCATATATATTTTAAACAAGGGTCATTGGTTGAAAAAGATTGGTGATGATGTGAAGTAAGAGATAATTGAACCTTTACTATGACTTTTATTCGGGTATTGTAGATAAAATTACACCAATTGACCACGTCAATAGAATATCTGCAAAATTGAAAAAATAAAAAATATAAAATAAAAGCCGCCCGTCCACCTCGATTTTAAAAAAAATTTGGATGAGAATCTAGCAATTTATTTTTTATGGCCTAGCTGACCCTTTGCATTATTTTATAGATAGCTGACCCTTTGCGTTATTTTATAGATAGGTGACCCCTTTGCATTATTTTATAGATAGCTGACCCTTTGCGTTATTTTATAGATAGCTGAACCTATGGTTATTTTATAGATAGCTGACCCTTTGCGTTATTTTATAGATAGCTTACCCTTTGTCTTATTTTATAGATAGCTGACCCTTTGCATTATTTTATAGATAGCTGACCCTTTGTCTTATTTTATAGATAGCTGACCCTTTGCGTTATTTGATAGATAGCTGACCCTTTGCTTTATTTTATAGATAGCTGACCCTTTGCGTTATTTTATAGATAGCTGACCCTTTGAGTTATTTTATAGATAGCTGACCCTTTGCGTTATTTGATAGATAGCTGACCCTTTGCGTTATTTGATAGATAGCTGACCCTTTGTCTTATTTGATAGATAGCTGACCCTTTGCGTTATTTGATAGATAGCTGACCCTTTGCATTATTTGATAGATAGCTGACCCTTTGTCTTATTTTATAGATAGCTGACCCTTTGCATTATTAGCTGACCCTTTGCTTTATTTTATAGATAGCTGACCCTTTGTGTTATTTTATAGGTAGCTGACCCTTTACATTATTTTATAGATAGCTGACCCTTTGCGTTATTTTATAGATAGCTGACCCTTTGTGTTATTTTACAGATAGCTGACCCTTACCACTGGATGGAGGACCCAGACAGTGAGGAAACTAAAGCGTTTGTAGAGGCTCAGAATAACATCTCTAGGCCTTTTCTGGATGCCTGCCCAGTAAGGGAGAAATTGAAAAATAGGTATTAATTGTGCTGAATTATTTCACCCTTCACACTTTTGACACTAACACAACTTCAATTATTTTAGTCCCACGTCAATAATGACTATGGTATTCTGTTATCTTTATCTTCAGACTTACAGAGCTAATGGACTACCCCAAGTATGGCTGCCCTTATAAAAGAGGAAATTATTATTATTATTCTTATAACACTGGACTCCAAAATCAAAGGTAAATGATTTAAGTACAGATGGCAAAAAAGCCCAATGAAAATATATGAATATAAAGCATTCTCTAAGAATATGTGATACCCAATATGTAAATTCAAACATTTTATTATTAGGGCCCCGCAAGGATTTGCGGGTGCCCTATAGTAATCACTCTGTCTGTCTGTCCGTCTGTCTGTCTGTCTGTCTGTCCGTCTGTCACTCTTCCGTCCACAAATTTTCTGTTTTTTTCTAATAACTTTTTTTATGGTTGCCCAATCAAGTTCAAATTTGGTATGGTAGTTCAGTAGGCAGAAATACATATTTTGATGCTAAGTTTGGTTCTCTATGTCTTCTGGTTTGGAGCTGGGGTGGTGGGGTAGATTCATTAACTATGCATAAGAATGAATGGGCAACTTTTTTTTATGGTTGCCAAATCAAGTACAAATTTGGTATGGTAGTTCAGTAGGCAGAAATACATATTTTGATGCTAAGTTTGGTTCTCTATGTCCCCTGGTTTGGAGCTGGGGTGGTGGGGTAGATTCCTTAACTTTATATAAGAATGCATTGGCAAAGAGAGATAACTGCTGAAGATGTTTCCATTGTAAACTGAATGCTGGCTATGAGTCCCTTGGGATTAATTAGCTTTCCTCCTGAAGAAAATCCAGAGCATTATCTTTATCTGTCACATTGAGATGAATTACCACCTCTGTCTGCAAATGAAGTTTGTTTTGAAGTTGAGTCAATTTGGAATGCTATGAACACTCTGAAATGTGGATTTAAATATAAATTTTTATAATTTATTTTTGTTTAATAGTTATGATTTTATTGAATTCTAAAAACAAGAAATAGTTTAAAGAAGATTTTTTGATTTACTTTTTTTCACTTTATGTTAATTAATTTTTAAGGTAGTTGTATAAAAACCCCATTCTGTCATGAATACTGCAAAAGTTCTTATTGTAACTTTAGAAGAAAATGATGAGAGATCAAATCCTTTGGGATTAATTATGATTTAGTAGGCTTTTCTTTATCTTTAAGATTAATGAAAACCTTTGTCTGCAACTGCTGTTTGTTTGAAAAAGCCTTCATGATATTTGCATTCATTGAAGGCTATATAACACAAGCTTCATAATTGTTTAAATGTACATTCAATGATAAGTTGTTCTTTACTGCCTAATGTAAATACAAGGATATTATTTTTAGGTTTTTGAATATTCAGGAATTATCTTGAAATTTTAAGAATACGGTTGCTGTTGCTTATTCTTCGTACATTTTTTAATCATTCCGTAAGCTGCACCCTTTTACTTCTACCCCATGGCGGGGCCCTTGCTGACTGGTCAGTTTTCTAGTTAATGCTATTGCTATATTTACTTTTATCATTTGTAAAATAAAGAACATTTTCCATTTCTATTCTAAAATTGTTGTGGCAATTTTTTCAAATTTTGATCTGATACATAATATCACTCAATAAAGGGGAATTAATGGGAGTGGGGGTTGTGTATTAAATTTCATGGTTTCATTCATACCAAAGGGTGAGAATAAGTTATTGAAATACATGTACATCATGACTTTGAAAATCTTAGGAAACTGTTAACATGGTTATGATGAGCAGTTAGTCTACTACCAAACTTTGGAATGATATTTTTCCCAGGGTTCAAAATACAGGCCTTACGGAGGGATGATGTTGGTAAAAATACATTGAACGTTCATCAAATACTTGAAGAACATGTTTATTCCTGTACAACTATTCAAGTTTAATATTCTCATCAGACTTCATACACTTATACAAATTTTATGTTGCATTACTAATATACCCTCAGCGTGGCATTCATGTCTTATAGACATATTTCTAGTTGGACTTATTATGAACTAATTAAATTGCTAATTATTTTAAAATAATTGAGAATTTTCATGATACTTCTTGAATGAAATCAAACAATGTTTCACTAATTATCTTTCAGTGTGATTTATGTACAAGACTCTTTGGACTCTGAGCCGCGAGTTTTTCTGGATCCTAACCTCCTCTCTGATGATGGGACCATCTCCCTCAACGGCAAAGCTTTCTCTGAAAATGGAAAGTACTTTGCTTATGGTCTAAGTAAAAGTGGATCTGACTGGATAACCATTAAAGTAAGAACAAGGTTCACTTAGGACATTTTCTGGCCATGTAAAATCCAGAAAAAATTGAAACTGCTTTACAGATTTATTGACAATACATGTATAAATTGTCATATAAACCCTTAGTGACTGCATATCTGTCAAAACTGATAATCATATTTTTAATCTTTTTTTTAAATTTCAAAAGTTGTTTTTTGATATGCTAACATTCTTAAGTTGTGTGGATTCAATATTTAAGAATCACAGATAGTGTAATGCTTGTGGTATTAGAGTGGGATTACACTGAGATATAAACTTTTCATACATGAATGATTATGGGGGGAAGATTTTAAAATAAAGATGGAAAGAAATGTTAAAAATCTTAAGTAAAACAGAGGGGCCAAGGTAGCACAGGTAAGCTTGGTGCATGATCCACTTGAATCTTGATTTTATAACATTACTTGAAGAGAAGAATGTGGCATTCTTTTTTATTTTGAATAGGCTATAAACTCTACACTTACATTCTTTAAAAAAAAAAAAGTGAAAATATAGGGCGCACTTGTTTCAGACAACCAGGCGATGACCCGGTTCACCTTTATCACATGACATATTGACCGGTTAGTGTAGCTGAAACAAGTGAAAATTAAGCCGGAAAATGGCTGAATCTGTTATTGGTGGTGTTGCTGTAAAAAATAATTTTCTCTGCACGCACAACAGGAGGACAACGATTTTGTGGATATATTTCGTTTCAATATTTAATAGATCCATTCAATGTACAATCTGTGAATTTGGAGCATAGGGCCTCGTTAAACACAAAACTGAAAAGTAGCTTTGAATTAAAATGAAAAGGTTGGTCATGCCAATATAAACAAACATGTTGTAAAAGTTACTTATTTTCTCAGTACTGTATGTTTATTGAAACTGAAACTACTGTAAATGATAAATCACGAATATTTCAGCATCAAGAAAATATCTACCTCCGTTTTCCGCCATATTGCTTTTCATTTGGCCGCTAGAAATTTTTCGGGCGATCTAGGCTACTTTTTGACTGCCTGGTGGCTTTAAAATATTTGAAACAAGTTACTTGCCTGCTTCTGGAAGTATCAACCGGCTTGACCCAGCTTATGAAACAAGTGCGCCCATAGATAACATCACAAGATACATTGTGAAGATTCTTCTTTTCACATTATTTATCCCATTTGTGCTCCTACTAATTAATACATGTTGTTTTAAGCATGCTAATTTGTAACTATGTTAAGCTACCTAGTTGAAGGAAAGGATTGCACAATATTTTAAGCATCCTAATTTTAAGTAATTTTCTATTAAACCTCAAAAAGACTATTATGAATTAACATCAGATACTTTTTATTAGAAGTTTCTGTTTGATTGGATGAAGCATATTATTGAAGTAATAATTCTTTTACAGTTCAAAGAAGCGCCCTCTGGTAAGGACCTACCTGACAGTCTGGAGAAGGTGAAATTCTCCAGCATGGCCTGGACTCACGATCACAAAGGCTTACTGTATAATGTACGTAAAATCTGGGGACATTATCTATAGCATCATCAGTCAGTAAAATATATAGCATCATCAGTCAGTAAAATCCATAGCATCATCATCAGTCAGTAAAATCTACCGCAGCATAATCAGTAAAATCTATAGCAGCATCAGTCAGTCAAATCTATAGCAGCACCAGTCAGTCAAATCTATAGCAGCATCATCATTCAGTAAAATCTATAGCAGCATCAGTCAGTCAAATCTATAGAATCATCAGAAAAATCTATAGCAGCATCAGTCAGTCAAATCTATAGCATCATCAGTAAAATCTATAGCAGCATCAGTCAGTCAAATCTATAGCAGCATCAATCAGTCAAATCTATAGCAGTATCATCATTCAGTAAAATCTATAGCAGCATCAGTCAGTCAAATCTATAGCATCATCAGTAAAATCTATAGCAGCATCAGTCAGTCAAATCAATAGCAGCAGCATCAATCAGTCAAATCTATAGCAGCATCAGTCAGTCAAATCTATAGAATCATCAGTAAAATCTATAGCAGCATCAGTCAGTCAAATCTATAGCATCATCAGTAAAATCTATAGCAGCATCAGTCAGTCAAATCTATAGCAGCATCAATCAGTCAAATCTATAGCAGTATCATCATTCAGTAAAATCTATAGCAGCATCAGTCAGTCAAATCTATAGCATCATCAGTAAAATCTATAGCAGCATCAGTCAGTCAAATCTATAGCAGCAGCATCGATCAGTCAAATCTATAGCAGCAGCATCAATCAGTCAGATCTTAGCAGCATCATCAGTCAGTCAAATCTATAGCAGTATCATCATTCAGTCAAATCTGTAGCAGCTTCAGTCAGTCAAATCTATAACAGCATCAGTCAGTCAAATTTATAGCAGCATCAATCAGTCAAATCTACAGCAGTATCATCAGTCAGTCTGTCAAATCTATAGCATCATCAGTCAGTCAAATCTATAGCAGCATCAATCAATCAAAATGTATTGCATCATCAATCAGTCAAATCTGTAGCATCATCAGTCAGTCAGATCTATAGCAGCATTAGTCAGTCAAATCTATAGCAGCATCAGTCAGTCAATTGCTTCCCCTTGTACAGTTATTGTCCAATTCTTATAAAATTTGGCACTTAAGTTAGCTGGCTTATTGGTCTGAATTACTACTCTGGAATTGCTATACTGTGGAATGACAGTGAAATTTATGGGAGTCAAAGTTCATGTGCAAGCTAAGTTTTACTAGAACAAATGAATTACTGATGTTGACAAATTGAAAAGCTGGTTTAGAAAAAGTTAATTGAGCTCTTTTAGTATTAGTTGAATTTGACAATGGATATTTTTTTTACAAAAGATTTTTGATAAGATAAAAAAGGTTATTTTAGCAATTCCTTTTTTTCCCTTTCTTCTTTAAAGAAATATTTAGATGAAAATGTTAAAGCACAAGGTACAGAGACTGCGACTAATCAGAATCAGAAGCTGTTCTATCATCGCCTTGGAACTGACCAATCAAAAGATGTCTTGCTAGCTGAATTCCCTGATGAACCAAAATGGATGATGTAAGTTTATCAGAAGATCATGCAGATTTCTCAAGTCATTGTTTGTAATTTTTTAATCTTATTTTACCAAGAAGTTTCTAGAAGAATCAAGTTTAATTCATGTAGCTAAAATTTAAAAAAAAATGCAAAGACTGAACTTATAAACTGTGAAGTTCAAAATCAGTAGCTCAACGTTATATTTAGAGTACGAGTTTCCTACTGTATCAGAGATACAGGGTGGGGCTTGAGGCGAGAGCGATGGCTCGAGCCGGGCCCCGCCCTGTATCTCTGATACAGTAGGAAACGAGTATTCTAAATGACTTGTGACATGATCTTTCTAATGACCTCACCAATTTACATTCATATTTGGGTACATATCTCTCAACCAATCAGATGATTTTAGCAGAAAGTTGATTTAGTATCCCATTTTAAGCACTCGCAACTGAAATGCCGAGAGAGGTGGACGTGCAGGTATTTATCATTTTAAAATGATTATTTAGGGGATGCATTATATAACTGGTTTTCCAAAAAAAAAAAATTAAATTTGATTGAGTATTTTCTTTTCTCTATTCAGCTGTTGCCGACTTCTTTTTTTTTTTTTAATTTAAGCTACACATGCAAAACATTTTAATATATAAGAATCATGTGGGAATGTTTTTGAAACCAAAATACTTCGGGGAAAACGAATTCTGAAAGAAATGTCCGACAATGTCCTACACCTGTCGTAATATAAAAAAAATATGAAATAAACAGATGAAATGAAAGCGGGGTGGGGGGGGGGGGGGGGAGTATTTTACCTTCATGTTTTTAATAAAATGTAGAGTAACCAAAGGGGATCCCAGCACTCATTGGTGCCCCCCACTCAACCCTCCTGTGAGTTTTTTCTTTTCTTTTTCGCTTTCGTAAATGATTTTTGCTAAAATTGTATACATACGCTTTTTAATTTATCAACAATAAACGATAGCACCACATAGTGTCTTGGTTGGCTATAAATCTACCCCCTTCCTCGAGTTTCCACTTATTTTTTTTCAGGGGGGGGGGGGGGGGGCCATAGTAATCATTTGTGAACTGTTCCACTACTCCTTTCTAAAATTTTTTGAATTCGACACTAATAACTTTACGTTGTAAAATTTTATTCTTCATTCACCTCAAATTTTGAGTAAATACCTACAGTGCTTTCATGGGAATTGAACGATTCTTGTGTCTGTACACAGATTCAGCTTTCCCTCATCGCTAAAAATAAACCGTACTGTATCGTTGATATTTTGCAGATACAGTACAGTTTCTGCTCATTTGCATAAGAAACGCCCACAAAAAGTGTTCTGTATCGCAGTTACAGTATGCTTGACTTCAAAGGAAAACTTGCCGGGTCATGTCACAATGTCCATTGGAGAATTTACTACATGTACTATATAACATTATTATAAAGAATGGCAGGAACAAATGATTTTGATTCATTACTTTCATGTTTTAAAACTAACCGGAATGGAAATCACTTCTTGACAATTGGTAAACCCATTATAAGCATATTCCTAATAACTAATGACATTTATTGATGATATGAAAAAAAGAGATGTATGAGTCTTTATAATCTTGACCTACTTTAGTTTAGTATCTTTAGGTCCCTAGAATAATATTTGCCTCATATAAAAAAAACTGTCTTGTTTAAAATTTACTTTTAATATAAATCAATTTTACACTGAACACAATTAGGAATACATGTATTAAAAATCTATGAAATAATTATTTATTGAATGTATTTATTCAGAAGAGTAAAAAAGATGTCACCCTGTATAGAAGGATTAGTGAACAGGAAACAGATATGTGTATGATCTATCAACAATAATGATCTGTAATATTAAATCTACCGGTAATAGAATATGATTCCCTGCTTTAAAGAATTACCTGTCTCAAGTGATATTGTTTTAGAATTTTCCTTGAAAGACAAACATAGCATACAGATTTGACAGAAAAATGGTATGTTCACATGTAAAACCTGTGTGAGGCTTTATAAAAGGTTTAGCAATAAGGAAAAACACATTTAATATATAATATTTTCTTGAGTTTATTATTACACCATTACTGTTATAGCCTTTGTTCTTTGTTAGAGGTGCTGAGGTCAGTGACTGTGGGCGCTACATTATCCTGTGTCCACGAGAGGGATGTGACCCTGTCAATCGTCTGTTCTATGTGGACCTTCAGACCCTCCCAGATGGGATCAGTGGTCCTCTTCAGTATGTCAAAGTAGTGGATAACTTTGATGCAGAATATGAGGTAAGATTGAGTGACTCATATGGGAAAGAAAGAACTAAATCAAATCACATTTGGTCTTTCTGCCATCCTTTAAGCTGCCATTCTTCAGAAACTATTGTGATCATTATAAAGAACCAGAGTTATATTTAATAATGAAGAATAATTTCCCCCTAAACAACTACTTAGTCAGAAATAATAGAAATTGTTTGCATCAAAATGTATTTTTCAAGCTTATTTCAGCTTTTTTGCTCCATTTATAATAGTAATGAATTTTGTAGTAATGAAAATGAATGCTTGTTTTTGCAGTATATCACAAATGAAGGCACAGTGTTTACGTTTAAAACAAATCTGAAGGCTCCACGGTACAAACTGATTCAGATTGACTTCTCCAAGCCACAGATGGTGAGTCTCCAGAAGGATAACTAACTAACTATTAACTAACAAGCCAGAGATGGTGAGTCCTCTGTGAGGATAACTAACTAACTATTAACTAACAAGCCACAGATGGTGAGTCCTCTGTAAGGATAATTAATTAACTATCAAGCCAGAGATGATAACTCCTCTATTAGGAGAAGTATACTAACAAGCCAGAGATAGAGAGTGCTCCATTAGGATAACTAATTATTAACTAACATGCTAGAGATGATGAGTCCTCCATTAGGATAACTAGCTAACTATTAACTAACATGCCACAGATAGTGAGTTCCCTGTAAAGATAACTGACCAACTATTAACTAACAAGCCAGAGATGAAGAGTCCTCCATTAGGATAACTAACTAACTATTTTAAATTATTAACATTTACAAATTATGACAAGATTCTTATTGACTTCCTAGAAATTCACTTTGACTCAATCTTGTAGGAGAACTGGACTACACTGGTGGAGGAACATGAGAGCAGTGTGTTAGAGTGGACAGCCTGTGTCAACAACAATAAGCTGGTCTTATGTTACCTAGAGGATGTCAAGGTTAGCTAGGACAATGTGACATATAATGCATAATTGATACGCTAAATTTGTACAATTCATGATACAACTTTTTCAATTTTTTACAAGCTCACAGCCAATGATATGAGAAAACGTTTCTGACAAAAAATTATCTGGTGTCCATCTATTATTTTTTATCATCTGTTGAATTCAAATTTTGGACTTCTCACAAAAACATGTCTTACCAAATTCAGAACAAAGCACCCAAGGATGAAGTTTTAACACTTTAAACAACAGGAGGACCAAACACTTTTTTAAATAGACAGATAAATGATAAATTGTGTAGAACATGTGGAGAATCTTCTCTTCACAAACCATGGGACCAGATAAAAGAGTGGGGTACTGGGTTTGGATGGCATAAGAATACTGGGCCATGAAATTTGAGTAAAAAAGTAAAAGTTCAATAAAAATTTGATTGATGAATTGAACCAAAAGGGTGATTTTTCAAAAGAACTTTTAATTAAGTTTATAAAAGAATAGATTAGTCTGAAAAATAATTGAACTTGAGGACTATTAAGGTTCATTGATACTCTGGTAACAAAGATAACTCTTACTGACATAAATTTATATCATTTCATTATAGATTTGCCAAGTTGAAATGTCCTTTTTTGTCCAATTTTGCCCAACAAGCTATGCTAGTATTATTGTTTGTATTTTATGTATAAAATACATTTCTTTTATAAAATCATTAAGGTTCAAGCAACATTTTATATGAGTGCATGAGCAGAGGGTTTATGAACCTGAAAGCATGCTTAGCCATACTCAATAGAATTATACCTTTGTACTCACTATTACTTGATGGTTTCCATTGAATTGGTAGAACAAGCTGTATGTCCATAGATTGAATGATGGACAGAGAATGGCAGAATTACCAGTGGATGTTGGGACAATTTCAGGGTATTCTGGGAAAAAAGAACAAACAGAGGTGAATAGCAAATAACCTTGTTTTTGTTTGTCAATACACATATTTAAGACTACATTGACTCCTTATTTATATTTTTAGCTCTTCTGAGCCAAAGGCTCAAAGAGCTAATGCTATGGCCATTTGTGCGGTGTGCGTCCTGCGGTGTGCGTTAACTTTTTAGCTCACCTGAGCTGAAGGCTCAAGTGAGCTTTTCTGAACAAAATTTGTCCGTTGTCTGTTGTCGTCGTTGGCGTCGTTGTCGTCGTCGTTGTCGTAAACTTTTCACATTTTCATCTTCTCCTCAAGAACCACTGGGCCAATTTCAACCAAACTTGGCACAAAGTATCCTTGGGTGAAGGGGATTCAAGTTTGTTCAAATAAAGGGCCACACCCTTTTCCAAGGGGAGATAATCATGAATTAGAGAAAAATTATTGGCATTTTTAAAAAATCTTCTTCTCAAGAACCACTGGAACAGGAAAGATGAAACTCATATGGAATCATCCTCAGGTAGTGTAGATTCAAGTTTGTTCAAGTCATGACCCGCGGGGGTAGGGCGGGGCCAAAATGGCCGATCAACGTTTTGCATAGGAATATATAGGAAAAATCGTTAAAAATCTTCTTCTCAAGAACCACTGGGCCAGGAAAGATGAAACTCATGTGGAATCATCCTCAGGTAATGTAGATATAAATTTTTTCAAGTCATGACCCCTGGGGGTAGGGCGGGGCCAAAATGGCCGATCAAAGTTTTGCATAGGAATATATAGGAAAAATCTTTAAAAAATCTTCTTCTCAAGAACCACTGGGCCAGGAAAGATGAAACTCATGTGGAATCATCCTCAGGTAATGTAGATATAAATTTGTTCAAGTCATGACCCGCGGGGGTAGGGCGGGGCCAAAATGGCCGATCAAAGTTTTACATAGGAATATTTAAGAAAAATCTATAAAAATCTTCTTCTCAAGAACCACTGGGCCAGGAAAGATGAAACTCATGTGGAATCATCCTCAGGTAATGTAGATATAAATTTGTTCAAGTCATGACCCCTGGGGGTAGGGCGTGGCCAAAATGGCCGACCAAAGTTTTACATAGAAATATATAGGGAAACCTTTTTAAATATTCTTTTCAAGTACTTCAAAGCCAGGATTAGTTATATTTGTATGGAATCATCCTCAGGTAATGTAGATTCTAGTTCGATCAAATTATGATCCCCTTGGGGGTTAAAATTCAAGCCCTCCCCCCAACTTAAGTTAACTTTCAGTTCTGATCTGATATGTGTTTTTTACTAGCTGATGTGCTCAGGTGAGCGCTGTGGCCCCTGGGCCTCTTGTTAGAATATGGGCCATAACTCAAGAACCCCTTGGCCAATCATTGTCAAATTTGTTACAGGGTATCCTTGGCCCAAGGGCTACCATTTATACTAAAACTAGGGGTTGGACCCTAAAACAAGGGGAGATAATCAGGAAAATGAAACCAAAAGTACTGGTTGCTAAAAAATCTTCTTCTCCAGAACCACCGTGCAGATTTTCACCAAACTTACATACAAGGGTCGGGATATGTTGAAGATTAAAAATTGTTCAAGGCATGACCCTGGGGCAAAGGGCGTGGTCTCAAGGTCACTTGAAAGTTGACCAAAATTTACGCTTAATAAAAACATTGATATTTTGCTTACTATAAAGACTAGGATCATCAAATATTGTAAGTTGATGCATCTCAAGACTTCACAACATGTTAATACAAAAGTAGGTCACGGTGACCTACTTTTTAAATTTTATGGGCTATTGTTTTCAAATTGATTTTGAGGCATATTTTGGACACTTTAAGGCCTTTGATCATAAAACTTTGTAAGCTGGTGCATCTTGGGTCCACAAACAACATCAACTTAAAAGTAGGTCATCATGACCTACTTTTTGAATTTTATGGCTAATCTTTTCTAAAACATTTAATCCGATTATTTCAGACACCGAGAGGTCTAGAATCCCCAAATTTTGTTAGTTGATGCATCTTGGGGCCTTAAGACATATTTATTAAAAAAGTAGGTCACTGTGACCTACTTTTTGAACTTTGCAGGCATTTGTTTTCAAATAGTTTAAAAGGCATATTTTGAATACCATAAGACCTATGATCATCAAATTTTGTCAGTTGATGCATCTTTAGTCTTCAGAAACTGTTGACCAAAAAGTAGGTCAAGATGACCTATTTTTGATATTTTATGGTTATATTTAAATATCTCGGGTACTTATTGGCTTAGAATCATCAAACTTTGTCAGTTGATGCATCTTAGGTTTTCGGAGATCGACGACCAAAGAGTAGGTCACGGTGACCTACTTTTGTCATTTTATGGCTAGATTTATGTATCTCAGGTACTTATTGGCTTAGAATCATCAAACTTTGTCAGTAGATGCATCTTAGGTTTTCGGAGCATGTCGACCAAAAAGTAGGTCAAGGTGACCTACTTTCAAATATCTCAGGTACTGATTGGCTTAGAGTCATCAAACTTTGTCAGTAGATGCATCTTGGGTTTTCAGAGAATGTCAACCAAAAAGGAGGTCACGGTGACCTACTTTTGACATTTTATGGCTATATTTAGGTATCTCAGGTACTTATTGGTTTAGAATCATCAAACTTTGTTATTTGAAGCATCTTGGGTTCTTGGAGAATGATCATCAAAAAATAGGTCACAGTGACCTACTTGTGACATTTATGGCTATATTTAAGTATTCTAGGGTACTTATAGGCTTAGAATTGTCAGACTTTGTCAGTTGATGCACCTTGGATTTTCGGAGAATGTTGACTAATAAGTAGGTCACTGTGACCCACTTTTGAATATCTCAAGTACTTATTGGCTTAGAATCATCAATCTTTGTCAATTAATGCATCTTGTGTCCTCAGAAAATTTCAATCAAAAAGTAGGTCACCTTGACCTACTTATAGTATTTTATAATTGCATTTAAATATCTTCAGCCCTAACTGGCTAAGAATCATCAAACTTTGTCAGTTGATGCATCTTGGGTCTTAGGATAGATTGTATAATTTATCAGAAGAGCGATTCAAGGCCCTTGGGCCTCTTGTTCAGTTTAAAATGTTTTATATGGTCAAGTTTTGACATCTTTATCTTTTTTGTCATCTTTAGATATTTTACCAGTTTGTATCCTTTCTAACACCTGGCATTATCTACAGATGTGACATGTCAACAGACACCTATTCTCCAAAGGTAAGAATTTCTCAACAGTTCAGTAAATGTGCTAGGACTTCCTGTCTGATAAACAAAAAATTACTACTGAAACATATTTGCATATTTATAGTGTTATAATATAAAGAAGTAGGTTTTAAAAGTTTTGTTTATATTTGTTATTACTTCATCTCGTATGCTGCAAAATTTCTATATATTTCCAAAATGAAAGATTTAGGGACATGCAGTTTTTGGCCTATCCATCAATCTAGCTGTCTATTTGTCCACAAAAAGTGTAACCTTTATTATTATACCTCTACTGATTTTTCCCTATATAAAATTAAGTGATTAGATCTGAACAATTCCCTAGAAATCGCTGTGAATCGGCTAATCCCCGTGCTTTAGTTTTTTTTTAGCTAATCCCTCGGTCGAAAGCTAGTCATGCTAATTTGCAGTTATAGCTTTTCATTGTGACATCATAATAAAGTGACACAAAAAAACAATGCTTCGTGACGTATTTCATATAACAAAACACAACAAAATAAGATATAAACAACAAACAAAATGCAATGATTGCATTAGAATTGGGGAATAACTGTCATCTAATTTGGTATGTGAGATGATTAATGATTAGTAGGGATGTCAACGAATATTCGAATATTCATTCGATGAGTTGATATTCGAATATAAATTCATGATTCGAATATTCGTTTTTTAACTGTACAGGCATTTAAAAGAGAGAAAAACCTGGCAAGTTTTATTAGAAATTGAATCAAGTTTTACAAAATTAAAAGACAGTCCTCTTGGATTACCTGAAAGGTGTGAAGAGTGTATCTATAAAGGTAATTTATTTTATATTTGATCATTAATGGGTGGTAAAATAGTGTCCACTACTTACAGTCAGCTTGTATTGTTGTAAGGACACAGTTTTACAGTAAACACATGGATCCCCTTTTTTATGTAAATATCATTAAAATCATTATCAGGAACTTAATTAGCAAAAAGTAATTGCTTTTATTTTTTCTCCGTTAGATAATTGCTCTGCTTGGTTTGAATTTGTAGGAGTTATCAGTTTAGACTTTAGTAAGACGATCAATAAATCTGGAACATGCTAAAGAATCTTTTATATTTTCAATTTAAAAAAAAACATTATATTTTGGATGCATACTCTTCATATATTCGATAATTATAAAATATATATAATTGCAAATTTACCATGCAAACTCTGTAATTAGTTTCTGTTCCAAAATAATGGCATAAAACCTATACTGCTTGACAGGAATGTGAAGAAATTTATTTTGTAATGCAAGATGTATTTATTTTATCGAATATTCGAATACTCCTATCGAATATTCGAATATCAATTATTGATAATTTTGACATCCCTAATGATTAGTTATTCTGTAAACGATTATTTTTTTTTAAAATTGATTTTTACAATTTAAATTTGTATCGTTAAATAAAACAGTTATAGTATATCATTGAGGGAGTTATCAAGATTCCAGTTCCCCTCGACCAGGACTATTTCCCTCGTCGCACTATGCCTTGGGAAATAGTCCTGGTCTTGCGGATCTGGAATCTTGCTTACTCCCTCAATGATATACGTTAACTGTATAATAACTTTTGATTGGTTAGTGATTTAGCTTTCATATTTCTAGTGTGTATTCCTTATGACAATACCTTTCTTTTGCACCAAATTTTTTACTTCATGACCACGACTTTTGAGTTTGGCTTGTTTTAAAAAATAAAATTTCCTTGGCCATAACTTCTGAACAGTTGACACTCAGGCTTTAGTTACTTCACATGTGAGTGCCTTGTGACTAGACCTGTTTTAGGTACCAGCAATTTTGATATCTTGACACAAATCTTCAAATTTGACCTACTTTTAAGAAAAGACTTCACTATGCTTGTAACGTCTGGATGGCTAGTGCCTTTTTTTCATGTATTTCTTGTGACAAGACTTTACTTTGGAATCCAATATATTTTACTTCACATGTCTTTGACCTTGAAGTTTGCCCTTCTTTTGACAAACTTTAACCTTATCCATGAGCTGTCACACAGGGACATCAGTGTTTCAAAAACATATATATTATTGTTCATTTTCCTTTATAACAGTATTATTTTATTTAGGTATTTAGAAATACAGAATTGAAGAACTTTGACTTTGACCAATATGAAACCAAGCAAGTCTTCTATCCAAGCAAAGATGGGACCAAAATTCCTATGTTTATTGTAAACAAAAAGGTAAAGAAAACAAAAAAAGCATGTTTTACACTAAGTTTTATCTAATATAATTTATGTACCTTTACATTAAAAACAGTTACTGAAAATTATCAATAGATGTACTTTATATTGGATCAAAGATATCTGTTCCTTGAAGAATCATACTTATGGATCACTCAAGAGTATGCCAAATCAAGATTGAATGTTTAAGTATGTGTCTTTCAATATTCATAACTTTTTTTAAAAGATTCAATGCATGTAGCATCTACTGGCTGATGTCAGCCACATTTAGGCCATAGAATCTTCAGAGATAAAAGAACAAATACTGTGAATTTCAGTGCCTCTGAGCAGCTAAGGGGTGGGGTGGGACCATGACCTTGTTCTTTACACCTGCACAATTAACAGTCAAACAATTGCATGATTATAATGGAAAAGGGACTGTGTTTTTATATCCTTTGGGTCTTGAGCTCTAGTTCCAATTTTGGGTACGTGAATCGTGCATGTACTTGTATTTTGATACATGTGTAATGCATTATATCTTAGAAAGGCTGGTTGAAAATGCTTTAATTTGTGTCCTTTTCTTAATCCTGTAGCAAACAGACCTTTTCTTATATTGTTCTGAACATCTAGCCTTCTTCTATATTCTTTTAAAATTGTAAAATTCCTCACCTTTATGCCCAGGATTCTGTGCCAGGGATGTATCTGGAAATGCATCAATTGAAATGAAAAAAAAAACAACTTTATACCTGGACTTTTCTGTGATTTGTTTTATAAAATTTGTGTCCTGGCTATAATGTTCATGGAACAGTGTTATGAAATCTTAAAAACATTTCTCTCCTCCTGGATTTCTTGCTGCTGCAGACTGGTTGAAAAATGATGACATGGAGCAATTAAACTGTAACATTCCCTACAATGTGGACTGAAAAGCTGACATAAAGATTAAATTTTTAAAGGCAGAATCTCTAGAAAAAAAATGATATTCTGGTGTCCATAAATTTCCATATTTTCCCTGTGCTTTGTTGTTATATTGTATTGACATGAATACTTGCTGTGCAGGACCTGGCTTTGGATGGGAACAATCCATGCCTCCTATATGGATATGGAGGATTCAACATATCCATCTCACCTCACTTCTCTGTGTCACGTCTGGTCTTCATGCAGCACCTGGGGGGAGTGTTTGCTGTGGCCAACATAAGAGGAGGAGGGTAAATATTTGGGCATGCAGCAAGCACACTATTTCATTGCTAATAAAAGTGAAACAAATCTTACTAGATATATTTTGTTACATTTTGAAGCCATAATGCACATAGTGGTGTTATACATGTATCAAATAATTTGATATTGTCAGCTAAAATTTTGATAGATTTTATACTCTTTACAAAGTTTCAGGGTATATAAGAACCGTACTGTAAAAATTATTAAAACTTTATCTCAGAAACTACTTGATATATTTTTTCAAACTTTGAAGCAATAATTTAAACCATTTGAATTTACGTGGTAATTTATCTTAATATAAATACATATAGACTGGTTAAAAGATATTCTTATAAAATTTCCCTGTAAATTAACAAAACTTCTTTGATTGAAACAAGAAAAGTAAAAAAACTTTAAGTACTATTTAGATAGTCCAACTGTAAATTTATGCATGTACATATATTTCTATTTTATATACCAAATATATCCTGTATAATATGTTACAGAGAATACGGTGAGACTTGGCATAAAGGCGGAATGTTAGGGAACAAACAGAATGTATTCGATGATTTCCAGGCAGCTGCTCAGTATTTAATTGAGAACAAGTACACCACAAACAGGAAGTGAGTGTCTCAGTCCCTACTGTTCTCATTGTCATCCATTTTACCTGGTTTTCCATCATTTTTTTTGGCAATTTTCTTCTTGAGTTTTAACATGTTTAAATGAGATAAATGTATTGACAGTTAGAATGTAAATGATGACTGTTTTATAGTTTTTGATTGTTGTCTCAGATTAGTTATAAATGGTGGCTCTAATGGGGGATTGCTGGTAGGAGCCTGTCTAAATCAAAGACCAGACTTGTTTGGTTGTGGAATTGCTCAAGTAGGGTGAGTTGTTGAGGAATGATAACAAAGAGACAGTTTCCTTACAGACTTCTTATTTACAATCATTAAATACTTCAAACCTACAGATTTCTTATTTACATCATTCTGTTAGCGCTAAGCATATGTAACTTGATAATCTATATCTTGTATAATGTAAGAATAATCTTTATGAACTTTGCTCACTTGTAAATGTCAAAAGTATTTTATGGATTTTTATTGCAGTGTGATGGACATGTTGAAATTCCATACCTTTACAATAGGACATGCCTGGACTACGGACTATGGCTGTAGTGACAAGGAGGAACAGTTCAACTGGCTCATCAAGTAATGTCTAGTAGATTAAATAGATTAGTGTTTGACTCATCAAGTAATGTCTAGTAGATTAAATAGATTAGTGTTTGGTTCATCAAGTAATGTATAACTAGACAGTAGTAGATTAAATAGATTAGTGTTTGGCTCATCAAGTAATGTCTAACTAGACAGTAGTAGATTAAATAGATTAGTGTTTGGCTCATCAAGTAATGTCTAGTAGATTAAATAGATTAGTGTTTGACTCATCAAGTAATGTCTAACTAGACAGTAGTAGATTAAATAGATTAGTGTTTGACTCATCAAGTAATGTCTAACTAGACAGTAGTAGATTAAATAGATTAGTGTTTGATTCATCAAGTAATGTCTAACTAGACAGTAGTAGATTAAATAGATTAGTGTTTGGCTC